GCCTCATTAGCACTTACTAGTTTTGCTGATCCAAACCAATCGTACTGCAGTTATTACAAAAGTCATAGAAACATTAGGCCTGGGAGATTGAATTGACTTTCTTGATTAGATTAAATCAAAGCAGCTGATTACCAGGTGTGACATAACTCCAGCTTTCAGATAAAGGATAAGGTGATGTATGAAAATGCGTTCAAGCCAAATAGCTGCCTCCTTAGACATACTTTTGATCTCTTATCTTATCTGCTCACAGTGTTCATTTTCTAAGCATATCTTAGCTGCACTGGCATGCATTACAGTATAGTAATTCTTACTGGCTAAAAATTCACTTTCCCTGAACTGATGGCAGTGCATAGCATCATCCCACATTATCTCATGAACAGAGAGGCTTATGTTTTCTGTGGTTATCAGCCTGATGCTTTTAAGCGAGCAATAAAGACCCAAACCTCAGTGTGAACGGAAGTCTTTCATATGATTTCTGTTAGCTTTAGATAGCTTCTCCATTCTTTTAACAAAGCAAATAATTTATAATTAAAAATAAATGTAAACAGACTCAGTATTAATCTCCAGAATATGAACATACTGGTTTATGGCTGAGTGCTTCCTTGATTGTCCTTTCCATCACAAAATGGAAACACAGTCATGTATAGGCATATTACACTATCTTGAATTCTGTCAGTAAGGGCTGTGCAGCACATAATGTTCAAATGCCAGATAGTAATGTCTCACCACATATACACACTCATGTAGTGTAAAAGAAATGGTCTGGATTAGAAAGGTGAAAGACAAGAGTTCCCATTTCCTCAACAGTGCTCTATGGATTTGCACATGCATTGGAATGTGCTTCCTCTGGGTTCTGGTTTCTGTGTATTGTAAATGGTCTTCAAAGAAGGAAAGTTAGTGCTTTGTCTACAATACCTCCAAGAAACTTTTAGCTTCATCAGAAATCTGCTATATCTAGTAATGATGACTCACAGGAACAATTTTATTCTTTGAGAATCCTCCCTTGGTTGGTTAGAAATGAAACATTTTCATTTAGCACTAAATGAAATCTCTAAAGCCTCAATCATTCTTGAATAAAGTAATCCTTAGAAAGCAATGTTTTCTGAAAGCAGTTTTGATCATCAGCATGATTTGCTTTTCAAAGGAACCTATTTATGCAAAGAAATTAAAATAATGTAACAGCTTCATTCAACAGTTCTGTGATAGTTATTAACACTTTCTTGACTGAAGAACAATTTTGTATTATTTTTCTACTTGCTCCAGCAACTGTTTTTCTGGAATTTTGGAAAAGAAGGCGAGCAGTAATTGCTTATGACTGGGACTTGATAGACTGGGAAGAAGAAGAGGTTTGTAACAAAATTTTATTCATTGATCTTTAGTACAAAAAGATTTGGTTAAATATGTAAGCATGTTTTTCTTTTGGATATATTTTCAAGTCACTTTTCAGATCTTCATAAACTAGGAAATAAGTATTTTTCTCCTCAGATAGTTTCTTTGGAATGTGAAGTAGCTTTCCCCAGGCCAAACTGTCCTTTCTTTTTGCACCTTTGTAAATCTAAATTAATTTCATCCTCTCAGCGGCTGTCATTGTGGGAGATTTCAGTAAAAAAATACACTTTGGGGGAACCTAGCAAATTTTGCTTTTGAATTCAAGGAGATTATTGGACAGCTCAGGGTACCATGAATGTTAGCACATGAGCTTTTATCTGTTATTTTAGATAGCCACTAAGAATATTGATGGCGAGAAAGTCTTGTGAGACTTCTACCAGCTTCTGAATGGTCAGGTGCTGGTTACCTAAGTGTACCAGAGACTGAGGGAGATGAACCAACTCAAAGTACTTAATTCATCCTCTGTTGGTAGAGGAAATGCCCTTAGGGAAGGAAACTAAACAAGCAGAAATAGGCTTAACCTTTTGCTATGGTGGTTAACAATAAAAAACAGCATGTTTGTGGGACTGAGCACTGATGTCTAAATGGAACTAGAAGGCTTGATTATGCTGCAAAAAAGCCACTTCTGCTGGTGACAAATGTACCAAATTACAATTTCCAATTCAGAATTTTAGCTCAGTGTCACCAGAATGAGAAGGAACCTTTAAATTAATAAAATACACAAGCAGGTACAGTATGAGGCCCTTTTTATGTTTTTCCCAGGAAGCCTGGTCTTGCAGATGTTCATAGTTTGGGATATTATATGTCTGCATCCTCCACCATTTAACCTACCTCAGTCAGGTGCCCTGGGGCAGCGGTGAGTGTACCTGCTCCAGACCTATTCATTGTACCTTCTTACAGTTGTAGAGGGAGTTTTATAAGTCTCTACAGCAGGAAGTCTACAGCAGTCTTTTCAGAAGCAGTGTGCCAGATGTTACCTTTATCTGTCACATTAGAGATTAAAGATGCCAATAGGAACTCACCTGGCTGATTCTCTAAGATTTATGTGATCAGTCATCAGAGCATCAGTATCTCATTGGCATTTAAGGTATCAGTTCCTCCTTTGTTCACCATTCAGTGGGATCCCAAGAGTGGGAGCTGATGCCTCCCAGAAGTGTCTTCTCTGAAGATACTACAGTTGCCAGTGCCAATACCTACTGCACAACTCAAGCACGTCCTTGCTTTAAGATCATCTCAATGGAACACTGCCTCCTCTTCTTGAGTATTAAATGCTGCACTTTTCTGTTGACACTGGGGTCATTGCAGGACTTTGTCCCTATGACAGTCACAATTTGGAAGCAGGTGTCCCAGGTGAAAAATTGTTTTCCCATTTCCCTGTTTTGTGGTTCGAAGTTCATCACTTTGCCATTGCCTTCAGAGGCAAGCAGGATGACCTGCAAACCACAAGCTTTGCAAGGAGACTTATTTCTTGGGGTGCTATCATTGTCTCAGTGATCAAGATTCAGATTTTCAGTCTTTTACAAATCCCTTTTTGTACATCTGGGATATAGAGGACAATATATCCTTGGACTAGGCAGGATAGGAATCCTGCAAGAATTCACCTTTTGGAGGATTCAGAAACCTCCAGAAAGAAAAGGATATATTTCACAAAGAAATTTAGAGTACTTCTAGTGCGGAAAGATCTGGTCTAAGGCACTGCACGTTAATCCATATTTGATATTTTAGAAATCAGTACAGTTTGTCCTGTGAGTAAAGAGTTGGAATGATCCATGTTTGAGAAGCAGGCAGGAAGGAGAACAGTCAGTTTTACATAGACTGAAAAAGACACATCCTGTGGAATTCGATCCTGAAATTGTACATGTCAGTGAGAATTTTGTCTCCGTAGAGTAAAAATTTACTCCTAAAAGTGCTGCTTTCTCATAAAATCACTGCTAATTAAATTTCATAGAATCATAGAATCATAGAATGGTTTGGGTTGGAAAGGACCTTAAGATCATCTACTTCCAACCCCCCTGCCATGGGCAGGGACACCTCGCACTAGACCATGTCTCCCAAGGCTCTGTCCAACCTGGCCTTGAACACCGCCAGGGTTGGAGCATTCACAACTTCCTCGGGCAACCCATTCCAGTGCCTCACCACCCTCACTGTGAAGAACTTCTTCCTTATATCTAATCTAAACTTCCCCTGTTCAAGTTTGAAGCCATTACCCCTTGTCCTGTCACTGCAGTCCCTAACAAAGAGTCCCTCCCCAGCATCCTTGTAGGCCCCCTTCAGATATTGGAAGGCTGCTATGAAGTCTCCACACAGCCTTCTCTTTTCCAGGCTGAACAGCCCCAACTTTCTCAGCCTGTCTTCATACAGGAGGTGCTCCAGCCCTCTTATCATCCTCGTGGCCCTCCTCTGGACTTGCTCCAACAGCTCCATGTCTTTTTATGTTGAGAACCCCAGAACTGGACACAATACTCCAAGTGAGGTCTCACAAGAGAAGAGCAGAGGGACAGGATCACCTCCTTTGACCTGGTGGTCACGCTGCTTTTGATGCAGCCCAGGATACGGTTGGCTTTCTTGAAGTCCAGGGCAGTGAGCTTGCTGCATGCTCTTCTCGCTGTCCTGAGGATCTCAAATTCAACCATCTCATGGTCGCTACAGGCAAGGGTGCCCTGGAGCATCACATCCCCAACCAGCCCCTCCTTGTTGGTGAGCACGAGGTCAAGGATGGCACCTCTCCTTGTCAGCTCCTGTGTTACTTGCAAGAGGAAGTTGTCTTCCACACAATCGAGGAACCTCCTGGATTGCTTGTGCCGGGCTGTCCTGTCTCTCCAGCAGATATCAGGATGGTTGAAGTCCCCCATGAGGACAAGGGCCTGCGAACGTGAGGCTGCTCCTATCTGTCTGTAGAGCACTTCATCCACAGAATCCTCCTGGTCAGGTGGTCTGTAGCAGATCCCCACAGTAATGTACCCCCATTGCTGTTCTCCCTTTGACCCTGATCCACAAGCTCTCTGTTGACTCTCTGTTTCCTATCTACAGTCCATTCAGTTAACACCAGACAAAATCAGATGATTTCTTTTAGCAGTTATTTCAAAGAAATCAATTAAAGAGTTCTAATCACCGTTTTAAGTCACAAGATTTTGACAATGAAGATTGTTATTTCTATTAACATTATCTGACATGTCTAGTTTTTGCTTGCTTTAATTTTCATTGTCAAATTGAAAAATAAGGTTTTGCTACAGAGAGAAATTTATTAATTCCTGCCAACAATAGATTAATAAAAAATGTGAAACATTTGTAAGGCTTCCTATCATTTCACCATTATTTTTCTGTTCTAAATGAGGAAACAAAGAAAGAAAGCAATGAAGACAAAAGGGACAGAGAATTAAATTTCTTCAGACATGCAGCCTTGTGAATTCCTCACTACTTCAGATTTTCATCTAAGGAGGGCATGCAGCAGTCCCTGCAGTGCCCAGATCCCCCAGCCTGGAGACATAGGCTAAATGTTTCTGACTTTTTCATCCCTGCATGTGTGGATTTCCTTTTCTTGTAAATCAGGTGCAAGGTGGGAGACGTGGAGAGTAACTTGGTCTTGGCTGAGTGCAACAAGAAACAAACAGTGCAGAGTTCATGGCACTCCCAGCTGAAATATGGCTCTGTTGCTATTTACAGCATACATTTTAAATTTTTCTTCAGTGTCACTTTATAGCATTAACCTCAGCCAGATACAATACTGTTCACTTCCTGCTCCAAACTATGCTCAGCATTGCTGAGTGTCATTAAACAAGCCCATGCCAAAGTGTCGGTTTTGTGTGAAGAGTATCTGTAAAAATAGCATTTGCATTATCTGAATTGGCTGGAGATTGTAGGAGATACCTAGACTCATGAATGGGTGGATATCGTAAGGACTTCCCTATAGTGCTGATTATAAAAGCTAATCGAAACTTGGCTTAGAGAGAGCTGCAGAGGAGAAAGGGTTTCTTGTATATGACTTGGTAAGCCAGCTGGCAGAGTCCTGTAGTGGTTTAACCCCAGCTGGGGTGCCATTCTCAAGCACCCTGCTTCAGTGCTATCACACTCTGTCCTTTTGCATGTCCTTGGGCATACAGGAATACTACTTGCATTGTTTCTCTTGCTAGATTATGGTCTGCTTGACACCTTTCAGCCCTGATATGGAAGAAACAGCTTGAGCAAGGTAGCATAAGAGCCCCCTCAGAAACATGCTTAGCCTCTGTAAATAGATAATGTAGGGCTGGTTCCCTCAAGCACGTAATTACTTACAGTGACATTGCAGCTGAGCATACATGCGTCTTAATTTTTTGTAATACCATATTACTGGGTTGCTGCTTGAATTTAGAAATTAACTGTATTGAGGAAGTACCTTCAGAACTTGAGAGAATGAGAATGAGACATGACTTTCCCACCCCCATCCTCCAGGGGAATTTTATAGAAAGGATGTAGGATTTTAGGATATCTTATTTTTATTCACATTCTAGAGACTTGTATGAGCAGTTAACATTCACCTGTTTCAATGCAGTCATTTAAGGTCTGGGCATTCACAACTTTCATTCAATTAAATGCAGGTTGAGGGACGGAAATGACTGAAATTGCTAAACTGGGTTCTTGGCTGTTACAAAGAAATGTGCAGCATTTTTCCTGGTGGAAAAGCTGCAGACAGGCCATAGCTGCCTTTGTTCTCCCTTGTAGCCAGCTGTACCGTGGGCCAGTTCTCAAGTAACGAATCAGAGCATTGTAAAACTTCACCTAATGCATATAGAATGCCAGCAGCTGTGAGAGTCCACCTTTGCTTTCTCTCTGGTGCTTTCTCTCAACTCTGACAGCATCCTCAGTGTTAGACTTGGGTAAGGTGGCACAGGAGACACGGCTGTTGGTGAACCTCCTGGATGGCAGGGCAGTGGAGTAGCCCTACTGCAGCTGAAAACCATGAGGTCTTACCTGAACTAGGGGTGAACCCTGTCTTCTGATAAGGCTGTAAACAGATGTAACAAAGTGTCTCCCAAAGAAATTCCCAGTTTTCATTTCAGAAGAGAGTTTTTATGACAAAGCAGGACTTCAGATAATGTTGGGAAGGAATTAAACAGTATTAGATGGCATAGCTCCTTCTTCAAATGCTGAGAAACTTTTGCTGATAATGGGAAGGTAACCAATTACCTAGCAAACAGCAATTGGGTTTGGAAAAAGGAATTTGGGTTTGTGTTGGGTTTTTATTTTTTGGGTTTTGGGGTTTTTTTGCTTTTTGCTTTGTTGTAGAATTCCAATATCAATATCAATTCCAGGTTGGAAAACTCTGTGGTATCAGCCTTAAAATTATTTGGCTTATAGCCATATGATTAGAATTAGTTATATTGTTTAGATGAGTAGCTAACTGGGGAGTTTACTAAGTACTTAGAATATGGTTTTATGGGTCCAGTGATTTATTCTAGTTCTCACGAGGGAGACCTGATTTCCCAGGTCAGCTGTGCCAGTTGCTGAATTCAAAGATGTACATCCCAATAATGATATTGGTTATCTGATAAGCAAGCTGAAGTTTCCTACAGAATCTTTCCTGGTTGTGCTGTATGTGAACACTGTCTGTCTATTCTTTAGGAGGAAATACGTCCGCAGTTTGAAGCCAAGTACTCCAAGAAAGAACGAATGAACCCCATATCCGGGAAGCCAGAGCCTTACCAAGCATTTGCAGATAAATGCAGCAGACTCATTGTTTCTGCATCTGGAATATTTTTTATGGTTTGAGAACTTTTATTTATTTACCAGTTGAAAAAATACAAAATAACATTATCTCTGGTGAAAGAGCATAAAGATACTGGGTATGACTGCTTGAAAGTAAAATAAGCTCTAGCGTGTTTACTGCAGGCTGAAAAATATGTACAAAGCAAATTCCCTAAGATTTAACGTCCTACACAGGTTTACTCTTCACTGAGTCTTGCAGATAGTTAAGTCCTTCCTTCAAGGGTTATACACATAACACTATATGTAGCAACACACCTGCTGGAATAGTAGTGCTATCACATTTAGGCACCAACTTCAGCTGACTGAATCAGCTTATTGATTTCCTTGCCTTCCCTGTGTAGACTGCGCAGAGTAATGAGAAATGATGCCATAGAATAGACAGCTGTTCTTGTAAATTCTACAGAGAACCCAATTAAGATGCCTACAGCACTTAATCATGTTAATATGTCCCCCTTTTTCAGAGTGTTGAGGAGGTAAGGAAGGAGGGTTCCTATTCCTGGTGCAATTGAAATGGAAAACTCGATGTTCCCTGTCTAAAATGAGGCATCTCTCCCGCTTCCAAAGTGTGAAATCAAATGCAGAAGCAAAATCTCTTGTAAAGAAGGCTGCCTGCATTTCTGCTGAAATGCCTCCATCTTCCAGCTTCACTGAAACTGTTATGCACATGACAACAGCAGTGGTAGACTGGTCTTGAAAACACAACTGGCATCAACTCAGACCCTCATGGAATTTACTAGGGATTTCCCAGGAGGCTAGAAAATTATCTATGTATAATTTCAGGAGTTGTGAAGAGCCAGGTAGGTGGGCTAGCCCAGGAACTTTGTGTTTGAATGAGATGGGAGGGAACAGGTCAGGGGGCTTGTAAGAACCTGATGGCTTCAAAATTGTCCAGTGCAGTCTTGGACAAGAAAGGCAAGAGCATTATTGAGATGAACTGTGCTCTGGTATGTCAGGAGGATGGACAGATACACAGAGAAACACTGGGCATGAGGAGCCAACATGTTGTCTGACTCAGTCTTTGAAGACTTTTGCATCTGCTCAGGACTGTAGTCTCTGCTCAGAAATGATTCCACATCTGCAACATTTTGTATATTTTCCCTATACTTTTTTCTTGAAGGGGGACAGTTTTCACTCCCTACCCTTTGCAAACATAGTCATTAATCTTCTCAGCCTAGTGGTAGATCTTGTTCAAAGTCCCAGAGAGTAGTCTTGCTCTGAGTTGTGTGCACCACAAATTGTCCCCATAAAAGTCCTTGAAACAGGTCAACGATTATTTTCACTGAAGATGTGGTTTTTTGCTGGCATAATGCAGGCTTCCAATGAATTAGAAAAACTCAAATTTCCCCTTGTTTAGGTAAAACTATTCCATAAAAATTATAGCTTTAAGCATAGGAGATTGACACTTACCAAAACTTGAAGTTAGAGCTGTTCTCAAAGTTTCACAGCATTGACTTTCACAGTGCAGTTACTAATATAGCTTGAACTGTGTTAGTGGTTCCTTATTAACAAAGGAAAGTCGTCCTTCTTCCCTTCAACGCTATGCAGGGAATTCAGAGACAATCCTTCAGATTCACACACTTTTTTCTTCTTCACTGGGATTATGTCAGTCAATTTTGTAACTAATAAAATATGAAACCAGCTTGATTAGCATTCAGCATTTTCAAAATCATTTTGCCCATTCAATTAGGTTAGATATACTTCAATTTTGATAGGCTTAAGTTGTCTGTGAATAACCTTGGAATACACTTACCTTTTGGAAATAGTCATGTCTTCTGCTGGAGAAACTTTCCTTATCTAATAAAGTGGCTAATAGGTACTCTTTCTGAGTTTCTATGAGATGAGTCACCCATGCTGTTTGTCCTTTAAATGGCTTCTCTCTGATTTTTTCCTTCCTTTAGATCTGTGTGGTGATAGCTGCTGTTTTTGGCATTGTTATTTACCGTGTTGTGACTGTCAGCACTTTTGCTGCCTTTAAGTGGGCTTTAATCAGGAATAACTCTCAGGTTGCAACTACAGGGACTGCAGTGTGCATCAACTTTTGCATCATCATGCTGCTGAATGTGGTGAGTAACATACCCAAAGATATACCTAAGCCAGCAAACCAGTAGATATCTCAGTCTTCAGAACACCAAATGCTTTTAGTTCCTTTTTCATCAGAAATGGAATGTCTTCCTAAGTCATGGCATTATTGTTTATGGACACCATTCACTGTTTATGTAAAGTACAATTCCAAATCAAAAACATTGTGTCTGAATGTTTTAAAAAATATTTGAGAGACATGTGCCTACTTTTTTATCATCTGCCTCTTTTTTTTCCTTTCATATATTTGCAGGTTTTAGTCCATTTCATTAATATTATTCTTTTTAATTAGTGTTTTGATGCTATTTTTTTAAATACAGTGGCCAAGCTTAATTCTAATTTATACTAATTTCAGTAATTCCAACTTCAATTTTCACAGTAGTTTACCAGTGAGGATAGCATATAGAGACATAATGCTCATATGCAGGAGGAATGCCTTGGGCTGAAAACTTCATGATGCTTGAGCAGACATGGCTTGTTCATGAACTGTCAATGGACTTTGCCAGAGTGAACCTGAGACATGGCCTCGGGGGTTGGGGAGAGCTGGCTGAGGTCAAGTTGTTGTGAGCTCGTTTGGAACCAGAGTTGGGACAAATTAAAAACTGGAATTTCTATGTGGTAAGAGCCACAGTAAGACAGTGTATCATAGATTAGATAGAAAATGAGTTCCGTCCTTCCATCGAGATGCAGGTACTCCTGTGTATTGCTGTGATAGCAGTGTGTTTTTTCTTAGTTGCTCTTAGCAAGAGGTTTATGGCTTTTTACTATCAGGGTTTTGTCAATTGACATGTTAAGAATGTGTTTTAAGGGAAAGAAGGGATCAACCTGCAAACATCCAGGTACTGGAGCCAGGGTGGAGAATCTCTACTCACTCAGTAGTAGCAAGATTTTTCTGCAAAAAACATGTTAGTTTTTGCTCTAGGAGATATGCTAACTTACCTCCCAGGGTAAGAGATGTTATTTCAGGCCTGCATATTTCCAAGTGCTGGCTTGGAGACCACTTTCTTTCCTGTGCAATACCCATGCATTTCCGTCATCTAAAAATTCGTTTTAACAGCCCCTCATTTATGTAAAAGAAAATTCCAAGAAGCTTTGCTCCCTTTCACATAGGCAAGACTGGATTGGTGACTAGGACAGTCTGTCAAGAACTGTTTACATTCCTGTATTTTCCCTAAGGTGGGATATAGGCTGAGAAAGAAAAGAAATAAGAGGTGGAAGCTGTTGTTCTGTCTGAATTTGTATTGAGGGCTCTCTTCTTTTATGTTATTTTGATTTATTGTTTGCTGTCTGGAGCTTTTGGATGTTTTCTTTAATCCACTTAGAGCACACAATAAGCATAGAAGAAATAAAAAGAAAACTATATATCTGTCAGTACATCCATTTCCAAGCTCTCAGTATAAGTATATGCAGTGTATATGCATATATATATACTTCATTGTATATGCAGTGAAGCAGCAACAAAGAATTATGGCACAAACAAAATTATTTGGTTCTCAAAGAGTTTACAGCTTAGAGAAATTTTTAAAATAATGGAAGGTGGCTTGAAAGTGCCTTTGAGAAACTTTGTTTTCTTTCCTAAAATACATCAAATAAGTAGAGCACTGCAAAGATGTATTTCTTAAGCTTTACACTCATTACCATGCAATAAATACCACAGCCTTAGATCTGGATATAGCTCATGGAAACAAAAGATCTCCAAAATATGAAACTGTAGGAGCTTTTGAAAGGAAGGACTGAAGTACATAATCCCTCACTTCCCGTGGTGGATTAATGTAGTTAATGCTGAAGGACAGTAGTGGGATTTTTTATTTTTTTTTTCTTCTTCTTTTTTTTCATTTTTTTTCTGGGAAAAAATATTTCCCAAGGAGCAATTCAGGTACTTGAATTCTCTACAGTGACTCAAGAAAAGTAGTGGGAGAGCAAGCAGGGATACAGTAATAAAACCAGAATAGAGCCAGATGTATATAACAGTAGGGAATTCACTGCTAGGAAGCCTGGAAAACCACCAGTGATTCTGATAGGGGTTGACAATTCTCTAAGCGTCAGGGGGAAGGTAACTTCTAGACTGGATGTGCTGAGAGCTAGGCACATACACTGACACATCCACCATGACAAAACTAAATGACCTTCGAAGCATAATGTCTCCCAGATAATCCTCCAGCCTGACTTGGGAAGAGACCAACTTTTACCTAGGTTAATAAAACCTGTTAATTCCAGTGATATCACCCATAGAAAATATGAACGCAGAACAGAATATTATCCTAAACAATGCCCTTTGGGACTAGTAGTGATAAACTTCAGTAGCAGATAATTATATCCAAACATTGTTAACAGAATCTCTAACGCAGTCTTACTGTTCCAGGAGGAATAGCAACAGAATAGTTTTCATAGCCTCTTCTGCAGAGCAATATATATTTGTAAAATAGCACACTCCCTGCTGGGATGGGGATATAAAATACTCAGACATTTAGCACTTTTACAGTTGTCCTTAATAGATCCTTTTAAAAGTAAAACAAATCACCTTTTTCATTACTTGAAACAAAACTGTTTACTCCAAAGGCAGCAAAAAAGCTATCCTAAGCAAGAAATGTTTCTTAACACAGATGAGATAATTCAGGGTGACTTCAGTTCTTAAGCAGGCAGTTTGATCTGTAAATTGTGCGTAACTCAATGTAACTGAGAGTTTATAAGGATAACTGCAAATGAAAAGAAACATTGCTGATAGCATTTCAGGAATAAGTAAGTACTTGAGCCTGAAATATGAGGAGCTTTGTATCCCTGTAGGCATCAGTGAGAGTTAAGGACATTTAGCATTTTGCAGGAACAAGCTCCAAACTCATTTAAAGCAAATGGAAATTGTTGTATTAATTTGCACCAATACTGATGTTCGTGGTAATGTACTTTATAGGTTAAAAAATCCTTCGCAAACACTAAATGTGAACACCTTCCAAGTTATTTTTTATAAGCTTTATGAAGTTATCAGTCTCCCAGTGAGTTTGAGAGCATGGTATCTGCTAAGCACAGAAAGTACCACTTTGGGATCTATAGCAGTGTCACTGACTCATTGTAAGAAATGTGTCTGGTGGTGGGGATTACTAAAGACTTCCTCTGAAGCAACCCTGTCTCCTCAGTGTTTTTCCTTTCAGCACCAAAAAAAATCTCAACAAAACCAGAAAGCCCAAAATACCCAGCATACCAGTGCATGTTCTTTACTAGGGTGATCTTTTTTATTATTTTTTTTTCTATGTGAGATAAATGTTCCATAAGTAACTAATACAAAAATCCAAGTTGTGCTATTGTTCTGCTTTGGGTTTTTTTTCTGGAAAAGTTATCTTACCTTTTTTCACTTTGTATGTAAAATAAGGACAGTGACAGCATTTTTTTCTCCGTACGTTGTGGATGAAAAGAGCTGAGTATAAGCTTTAAAAATATTACTATTCCTTTTTTGATTATATCATTACTGTATTATTACTACATAGTTTTATTAGCGTTGTTATAAGAGCATCACAGAGACCATTTGGGTGTCAGATTTAACATGTAGGAGAAGTTACTCTACCTAGAAAACAATTCTAAATTTTTGAGCTGGTCGTATATCTAAGAGGCTGTTTCTTCTCTGTTACAGCTGTATGAAAAGGTTGCTCTTTTCCTGACAAATTTAGGTAAGGAATGTTACATACAAAATTGAATGATACTGTATTTTTTGGCCCATATACTGGGATAGCATTCAAACTGTCTGTACAAGTATGAAAAATCCTGATTAATTTGCAATCTATAAGAACTGATGTTTTTCTTAAGTTTATAATACGGGAGCATATGAACAGCTATGGTGCCATTCAGTCAGTGATGACAATTACTGACCTGCCATGCCTGGTTCTTGTACCAACCACTTACCTTGTAAGAACTTAAACAAATTGCTACCTTTGTGAAAAAAAAGCAAAAGTTTTCAGAGAGACTGAGCACTCACAACCCCCAGGCTTTGTGAAGACCTGGAATGGGGGAATCACATCTGGAAGCCAAAATTATAGCTTGAAACTAAGGTGCTTATTGACTATCAAACACACACATTTAAGAGGGGCCATAATTTGGAGGGAAAATAACTGACTCATCAATTCTACCAACACCTAAACTCAAGTATTATTGTACGTTTCAGTAATCTTTTCAGTTCACCCAAAAGGTGATCTTTATGCTAGAGTAAAGACAACATGTTTTCTAAGGACATCAGGTCCTGTCGCTGTGGCAGCAATAGACTATCAGTCATATATCCATACTTCAGGCAGAGTCTCTGGAGATCCTGATCATGCTACAGTAGTTGGAGGCAATTGGCAAGTGCTCCTTAGTGTCAGGAAGCCTGTTATGAGACTCTTGCTGAAGGCCTATTAAGCCAACCATATTGTGGCTCAAGAGGTTGAGTAGAAGTGGTTTGAGGCTATTATGTTGAGCTTCTGCATACTTGTGTGCACTAATGATGTTCAGTAACATATTTTGGACAGATAGACAGATTTGGGTGTCTGCTCAGAGGAAACAAACAGCTGATTTTAGATAGTGTCAGGGCTTTTCTGCATCTGGGAAGTCATAGGTGATGTGTTCAAAGCACATCTATGTTAAGATAGCATTTTATTCTGTTTTTGTTATTACATTGAGAGTCCTCGTATGTATGCTGTAGATGTAAAAATATTTTTGCCATCCTGTATCCATGGGAAAGATACCTGCTAGTTACAGTTGAGAAATATGACTTTCAAGCAGGTGATTTGTACAGGCTGTACCTTTTACTCCCTGTGACACCCCGGGGACAGTAAGGCATAGTCTAGAGACTTTGGAGCTTGGTTGCTTTCTGCCAGGTTATCATCAAATAGGCCTGCTTCTTTTAGCTTCTGCAGAAAGCACTGGTATGAAAACTCAGTGGGTCAAGCTATTCTGACCATGTTAAAGCTGTTTTGTGCTATTTACTTTGATGGCCTAAGTGGCTGATTTAGTTTGCTTATCTTTATCAGTGTAATAAGCTTGGAGTGGCATTGGCAGCAAAGCTACTCTCAGGATGTCCTTCTTCAGACTTTATATGACCTTTTTCAGAGCTCATGTCCACACTCCTCCAGAGTCTGCCATTGTCTCTGACAGGCATATAAGCACAGCTTCAGCTGCAGCACCCTTGTTAAAGTCAGACTTGTCCTTCCACAAACTAGCATCAAAAATCGATGATGCTTTATTTTTTTCTGTGTAACTAAATATGTATGCACTGGCATGCACACAAACTTGGGTTTCTTGACAGGCATTTGCAAATCATTAACACGGTTGTTAATTTATGGTCTGTTTTATGCTTTTGTTGATGCATCTGTTTGATATTTCCTCATGGGTAGGGCAGCTCTAATTAAAGAGAATCTAGTTTATCACTGTTGCTTTATTTCCGCTACTTTACTGGAGGCTCCTTTGGAAGTAGCATATGAGTACTACCACTATGATATTCAGAATCGCCATTATCACCTCCACTTCTCTGCTTGCTCCTATTCAGAGCAATGGTTGTCTAATAACAAGCTCCTGCCAGCTGTAAAGTAGTTCCAGGACATGGTACTGGTGTGTGGCACAGAAGTTGTTTTGTTAATTGCTGTGACAATATCTTTTAAGATGAAGATTAAAGGCCTACCTGAAGGGAAGAATATGTCTTCCTCTTTCCCACTGGCCTTAACCCATCTGTTGCAAAATATTTTTTCCCAGTCTTCTGCAATGAGTTGCCTAGGACAAGGAAAGGAAGTCATGCAATGGCACTCCACTGACACCTGTGTGGAGTCCTTAGGTGCCAGCATGGTGGCAAATCCATTAAATGGAATTAAAAGGAGGATTTACTCAAGTTCAGTGTGTCATCTCTAACAAAAAGGCACTTATATAGTGGTAGTGGGGTGCTTTCTGGCAATGTCGTTATGGTAGGACGTAGAAAAGTGAACAAGAGGAGCCTGAGCCTGTAAAACACACAGGAATCCAGGAGGATATTTAATATACGCATTATTTCAACCACTTTCTTACAGTCTCCTGGGAATATACATATCCAGATATCAAAAGAGATTTCTAAGTTTTTATAAGCTCACTTGCTGTGTGCTGCTTTTGGGTATAATTTCTTCTGTCATCTTATATTTTGAAATCAGCAGGCTAATTTACAAATACATTGCCAGGTCTGATAGGTGTGTGCAGCCTTTATGCTAAGGGAAATTGTTAGTCTGATTAGATGTCTGAAACTCTCCTCTCTTTCTTCACAGAGCAGCCTCGTACTGAATCCGAGTGGGAGAATAGCTTCACTCTGAAAATGTTTCTTTTTCAGTTTGTCAATCTGAACAGCTCTACCTTTTATATAGCATTCTTTCTTGGAAGGTAGGATTAATGTCTGCACCCTCATACGTACAAAATGAAGTAGAGAGAAGAAATAAAATTGTCTGTAATGAAACAAAATGGGACCATATCACACATTTCAAAGTTCAAATTCCATACTAGCAAAGCAGGACAGATCACAGTTTTATTTTCCTTTCAAAAGCCCAGAAACTGACACAGTTTTTACTTCCACATTGGCTCAGTATTAACTTTTAACAATTTCACTACTGGGAACTGGTACGTCCCGTAATACTATGCATGTAGGCCACTTCACTCTGTCTTTACGTGTGTAATTTGTACAGGTAAGTAAATAACACTGTGTCTTTTTCTTTCAGAAAAGAACAGAATAGTTCAGTTGGAAGGGACCTACAACATCATCTAGTCCAACTGCCTGAATACTTTGCTGCTTCTATTACATTATTTGGACCGTTAAGAGTGAATTGCGAGCTATCAGTTGATAGATTGTAAACAGAAAATGAAATATATATTTAATTGTAATCCTCTGCAAGTCCCCTAAAATCAAACAAAGAGCCTTTGAGTAGAGAAAGCTTGACTAAAAGAACTCATCAGTGTGGTTTATTTGCACGTGGAAACCATTTGGAGAGAAAACACAGGAGAAAAATAAGAAAAACATTTTTTCCTAATGAAAACTAATATTTTCATTGATTTCACAGAAAAGTGGATATCACAGCCCAGGTTAAGGTGTAAGGAAATGGACTGGCAGTTGAAGGCCATTTTCCAAGCCGACATAAACAGTTCTATTCAGATTTTCTCTCTTTTCTGCATCAGCTGAATATCCAACAGCAGAGTATTTGGTATTGAAATAAAACTGGAAGTAAAAATACACTTAGCCCTTCATGGAAATTATTCCAGGAATCCCCCAAAATGTTTTACAGCATAAGATCTCTTACAGTTTTATCAATCACACTAAGGTAACATTAGATTAAAACTACAGTGTGAGCTTTCTTCTACTGCTGTGAACAGTCTGCTTACACAATGTAGTTGATGTATATTCCTGTGTTAAAGATTTACAGGACACCCTGGTGCCTACTTAAGGCTGATAAACCGGTGGAGACTGGAAGAGGTGAGTGTTTGCCAACTACACACTGATTTATCTGCTGCTCACGGAAGCAATAAATGCAAGTAAAGGCAGACACATAACTCTGTCTAGGTATTTTTGAGCCTGTTACTGAGTTTTCACTTGCTGTCTAACTCCACACTGCTAACGATAACATCTGCTACAAAAACATCTACAAATTGATATATTCACCCTTTCCAGTATTAGCAGTTTCAGTGTGTGCATGACATTTGGATAATGGTATCGAATGGTTTAAACATTAGTCACATTTTTACACTAGAAATATTTCATCCTTGAAATAAATCAAAGTCAGATATAAAACTAACAGTATCTTGCTTCTAAAAAAATACTTTCTTCTCAGCTTTTCTAGCCTTGCTGACCAGGGAGCTAAAATAATAAAATAATAACTTAGCACTAGCTACTAAGAAGGAGAAAAATGACTGTTACAGCTGAACCCAGGACATCCACACACATAAAATGGACTTGAAACTGGACCAAAACAACTGAACTTCCCACAAGAGCTACTGGCATAATCTTCCACGTCTATAAAACCAAGTGTATTTGGAGAACAATGAGAGGTTGTCATTGCAAGTCACTCAAGGACCAGCCCCATTTTTTTGGCAAATACATTCAGAATTCAAAACCAATCTGACAGTTACTGGAGGTGAACAGCAGCAGTTTCTGGACCGGACATGCAGTTTTCAGTGCTGCTATTTGCACATCCAAGTCCTATGGTTTCTTTCCTGCTTCACAACCGAACAACTGAAACAAGTTTTCAAGTACATGACAAATGGCAAGTGAGAAATGCAGCTCTTACATTGCCAACATGAATTTACAAACATTTCCAGATAAAATATTTTGTTTAATAGAGGTCATCCAAATACTAGCAAAAAATGAATAATTTTAAAAAGCCATCCTAATTTTGAAGTAGTGAATTCTGCATATTCAAAAAAAGAACACTTGATAAATGGGCAGACAGAAATTCACTGAATATCGCTCCAAAGTCTTAGAGGGGCTGAGCTGATCTAACAGTTTGCTGCTGCCAAAAGGAGATAGTTTTGCTCTTCCTTTGAACCTTGCCCCAGAAGCTTACTCCTTCCGTTTCCTCTGCATTAGCTCTGGCTTATCCAACCATGTGAGGAGCATATTCAGTTCCCTGTATCAGCAGGAAACTCTTTTTCTGGCTGAATTAGTTTTCTGATGGATTACTGGGCTGAATCATCTCACAGAGGGGTCAGAGAACAGCGAAAGAACTTCTCTGCAGGAGCACAGATAGGAGGAAGAAAGAACTGGGTTTGGGAGGGAAGTGCAACAGCAAGGTGGTACAGGTTGGGCCAGTTGCTGGTGGAAATTACTGTTTTGCTTTTCTCAGAGGAAAAAAAGTTTAATAATAAAAGAAATATATAATAAAAAAGTCTTAACTTTATTAACCATATCTGTGCTAGGTCTTATTAGGAACATAATTTATATTATAATGCCCAGAAACACCTCCAATAGCCCTCTCTTCAGCTGTTGGATGAAGCCAAGGCTAAGACACTTAATAATATGATACAGTCTAGTCCAGTGTCTGTGGAGATATCTAGACAATTTATTTATTAATGATGCTACTATAAGCATCAGTGCTACTTCATTAATACTGCACCTATCTCTTTCAGATTATATTGTGGAATAACATAACTTAGTGCTATCTGAGTATCTCCCCCAAAAGTAGCACCACTTCTTCAAGGTCTGGAGCCCCTGCTAAAGCAAGCGAGCACTCGGCAAGAGTGCTTAACTGTTGTTCAAGAAGAGAATAGCTTTGCATGAGCCACTAAGTCATATACATTAAATAGTACTCAATAAACAGTATTAGGTCTATCTTGTAGACATAAACTGTTTGCCTGTGCAGACAGGAGGAATTTTCTCTTCATTCTTTGACTTGATGTAATCAACCTCCCCCAGCACTATTGAAATCACTAGAGAAACTTGGTAGCATCTGCCTCTGTCCCACCCACAGCTTCACAATATATTAGAGACACTAATGTGAAATCTGCTCTTGTTTCATCTTATTCTGACCTCTGCAGAGAATTAGATTATAGGCTTAAAAGGCTGATGCTAATGATATAGTCTCATATTTTCCCATGAGTTTATATTAATACAAAGTAGAAAGAGAATGACATTTAATTTCCTTTAAGTAAATTAGCTAATATCCATTTCCAGTTTTAAAGAAATGCTTTGCAACTGTTTCTGTTTAATCTTTTGTTTCTTTTTTTCTATAGTGCCACCCTAGTGGATGCCTTATTGATCTTTGTATGCAGATGGGTATTATAATGGTATTAAAACAGACCTGGAATAATTTCATGGAACTGGGCTACCCGTAAGTAAATATAATGCCTATGCTTCTCTAGGTCGTATAAGAATACTAAGTTTATGCTTTCCTTATGACCACTTACATAAAAGCAAGATATGGTCCCTGTTCCAGGGAGATGGAACTAGATGATAATATATGAGAAGTACTTGATTTCATGAAATTGCGTTCCATGTTTTAAAACTCTTTAAAAATAACTGTAGGTCTGCTGTATTCCTTACACAGGAAATATTATATGTATCATTTTTAGCTATGCCAGGAAGCTCTAAATTGGATTTCTCCTTACTGGGTGATAAAAGATGCCTGAAAGGGCAGGTATGAGCTGGAAAAATGCACTACTGGCAGAGTTGCAGTAGTGCAACTACTCTATTTCACTTGCAGAGATAGAAGAATGTACTGTAGCTGTGCCCTAGCTAAAGAGGCTGACAATTATTCGTTTTCTGTTGGTTCATTTCTTATCAATTGGTATTTAATGAGTATGTTTAATATGATTATATAGACAGTTGATGCTAGAAACAGTGTGGCAAGTCACCAAGGGAAATTAGCAAGTGTGAAAATATACAAGCTGACATTATCAGAAAGTTTGCCCTTGTAAAGTTCAGAGGGATTTGCTTCACTGCAGGATCCACAGCAGAGCTAGTGCAGAGTTTGGTCCCTTAACTACAGAAACATGTTGCAGAAGTGATTTCAGGCAGCCTCAGTGCTGATCACATCTGGCTGTAATGAGAACAGAGTAAATGGTTTAAATGCGCAGAGTAATTGGCAATCGAGGTACTCAAAGTTCTCAATCTCTTTCTCTTCCCACGTTTGTGCCTAGCACTGCTTGCCAGGATTTTGCAGCTGTTAGGGCTGGAGGAATTAGCTGGGGTAGGGAGGAGAGAACAGTGGCAGCAACAGTATTGATCCTGTCTTTCACTGCCTCTTTTGTCAGTTCTCATTACAGCTTTCTGCTACCTGTTAATAGGGATTTTGAAACCTAATAAAGAGCACAGAAAGCAATTAGAGAAGGTGACTGAAGGAGATAGGAGGATATTGTTTAAGAACAAGTGATTTAATAGGAATAAACTGCTTCTCTTTAGAGTTACAGTGAAAGTCACAACACAAAAACAGTCACAACAATGTGAGATACTTCAACTTATATTTACTCTCTAGACCTTTCAGTCCACTTTCTAGCCCTGAAATGCTGCAGGCAAGTGCATTTCCTTTTTGTGTGGAAAAAAACCCATGATCATTCGTGCTAAGAGCATGATCAGAGCCAACACCATGTGGACAGCCAGAGGATTTGGAGGCAATCCTATAGTCTGTTGTAGAACATCACTGTGCCTCCACCCGTGTGCTGTCTATTGCCTGCTGAGACCCAGGCAGAGCCAGCACTGCACAGTGCCAGAGCTCAAAAGCTCACAGCAGAGAATATTTCCCCATGAGACAGCCCTAGGAGAGAAGCACCAGCAGCCTGTTTTGAAGAGGATTTTGACACCATTTCAGGGTGGCAGCCCAGCTCTGTTACAGGCTAGTAACAGAGATGCTCCCTGCACCTCTTCAGTCCCTGTGGAGGGGAAAGGCATTTCTTGGTGACAGGAAGCCCAGCACCTGCTGTCGCTGGTACATGTGGCATTGGCTTCTCTTCTGAAATTTCTACCTGAAAGTTAAAAACTAGGTTGCAAAGATACCAAAGAGAGGATCTAGATTGTGTGCTAGAGGATCGGTTGTTTAGTGTTTACATTTTTAATACAAATTGCTGCCTTTGCAGGAATTCAGTTCTCAGCCCTCTCACTTTGTCATGGGCCCAAAGGGTGCTGTGGACTGCAAAGATGTACCCTTAACTGTCCCACAGGTCATCAATCACAACCATGGTCATTCACAGGAAAGGCCTTTCTAGGCTTTTTACAGATTAGTGACTGGCTGTGAGCTACTAAAACCAAATACAAATTTTGGCTTGAAATCCATGCTTGTACTGGTAATTTTTTTTCTTGCACTTCTAAACTCTAGGTTTTAAAGTCCTACACTCAGTTACACCTACACTTCTCTAAGTGAGACAGGAAAAGCTGTAACCTCTCTGGTAAATGACTTGAATGGAGAAATAATCTCTAAGCTTTAAGAAAACAACCAATTGGCCAAACCCTTATCCCCTTATCTAAATCCAATGTTCATTTGCCTACTATCCAGACCAGACCAGATCACTGTGAAGGCAAGAAGCAAAGCAGCGTCAGGGAAAGGATTGAATTATTTGAGTGAGCCATCACCTTCATCAGGTTGCTGAGATGAAGGGGCCAACCGCAACTTTGGAGAAAATCTCTGTCTTTTTTCTTTTTGTCCTCTCTATTAACTGTAATATTGACTGTAATTCATGTCTTTGTTGGCCGAACCAGTGCAACTCCCTGACCTGGAGAGGCAGAAGTATTTATTTCAAATGTGAGCGCTCGTTTCTCTGGCTCAGTGCCTCCCATGGTGCTCCTACACATGCATTTCTTCAGGAACAGTAACTTCTTCCTGAAATCCTATACAGCTCCCCCATTTCCTGAGATGGAGATAGCTCTCATGTCAGCCAAATACCTCTCTCAGCCACCACATGTTGTCAGTAGTCCATACAATTCTTTCTGTCTTCTGTTCCTCTGAATGTTTGGCTGCAGACACGATTAGAGGTTGCTTTTTCCCTTCCAGGGTTGCCTGAGGACTATTATCCTGCACACTGTAGAGCTGTGTAGAGATGCTGGCTCACACACAGGAAGGGTTCAAGCAGCATTAGCACTCTATTTACTGATTTCTCAATAATAGCTCAACTATCTCCACACAGAATTGCCTTCTGCCATATAAACAGGCCCTGAAAGCAATTTTCTATTCTGCGTAGAGAAATGGGAGGTAAATAAATAATGAAAAGATGTCAAAATCCCTTCACCACTTTAACAACTCCTAGGCCTGGATTACAACCCATCAGCTGTAACTGTTTTCATACCTATTATGCCATGTCATCAGCCACATGTATTAATAATGCTCCATTTTCCTGTGCATTTGGAAATTAATTTTGCAAGATACGTTGTGCACACTTAGCCTTTTCCAATTTTGTGATAAATAGCCACTAATATTATTTACCTTGTTTCTTCAATTTATTTGAAAATGTAGGCTAATTCAAAACTGGTGGACCAGGAGAAAACTACGACAAGAGTATGGCACACAGAGAAAAACAAGCTTCCCACAGTGGGAAAAGGACTACAATCTGCAACCTATGAATGCTTATGGACTATTTGATGAATACCTAGAAATGAGTATGGCACTGACCTTTGTTCTCTCTCTTTCACTGGATTTTAAAAGTTGGTGCTTTTTTGTTGATGTGGGCTGGTATATTCTTTTAATTATTGCTGTATGAAGCTAAAGATGTACAGATGAGAGGGTAATTGCTTAAAGTTACTGCTCAAAATAATGTTAAAGAACAAGAATTTTTGCTTTATGTGGCTGAACTGATAATGTCATGATTGTTTTTTTAATTTTTTCCCTCACACAATTCTTTTCAAATCAATGGGAAATTTGGCAGTCTAAAAACCTGCCTCTAGAAACTTACACAAAGTTTCAAAGTGCCACCCATCTACAGTATGTAAAGAAATGTATTCAGACCAAATCTTTGCAGCTATTGAGACATCCTAGTTGACACTGGTGTAAAGAAGTCCCTTTATAAAAGCACAGTTTGTCTACCTCCAAACTTGTCCAATCTCCAAATTACAAAATCTAGATGTTGCTACGCATCCTAAGAACAAAGTGTCTTTGTTCTTGTCATCCTACTCTGAACTTTTAACAAGGAATTGTTGTGTTAGTGTCACTAGACTATTTTGTGGTATGGCATAATAAGAAATGGTTGTGTATTTATACATAATGTTTGAATGCATATACTATTTGGTGTCTTAGACTTTGGGATTAGATCCTAACAATTATATTGTGACCTTTCCTTTTTTTTATTTAGTTCTTCAGTTTGGGTTCACAACCATTTTTGTGGCAGCTTTTCCACTGGCACCGCTCCTGGCCTTGCTTAACAATATTATTGAAATTAGGCTTGATGCATACAAATTTGTAACCCAGTGGAGAAGACCTTTAGCTTCAAGAGCCAAAGACATAGGTGAGTTCTTTGTACGTGTGTTTGTTATGCATGTGTATTATTTTTAAGGCAAAGCACTGAACACTTCAAATAAGAGCATATTAAGGTATTTTCAGTCCTTTCCTATTAACAAGACACACTTTGATTGTTCAAAAAAACTTCACGTATCTGATACCAATCTACTTATGCAATTAAGAGCCTGTATTGGAAAATGTCTTTTAATTATTTTCTGGGTGACTTAACAGCCCGGATGTTTTAATGAAGTGATCAGTGTTCTCTGCAGGTTTTTCCTTGTGGTAGACACACTGTATGAACACATGCTACTGCTCGGTTTGAACATAATAACCAGACAGAGCAGCTGAAACATGAAAGTCAAGTAAAAGCGGCCACCCTCCTGTAAAGGATCTGTAAGGATTATATGCACCTGGCCAAAACCAAGCTCTCCTGAGACTTAGGTGCTATGCCCAGTGGATCACAGAGGCGTCAAACAGAGTGGATCTAGATCCCAAGAGACAACTTGCTCTCAGTGAGGCACACCTACATTGCTAAACACAGGGTTCACATAAGAGGTCACACAGCTACACACTACTGCAAGGGTTCTCTGTGCATATTTTGACTATAAATCTTCTCTATCCTTGTAGTCTACAAAAGCAGAACACCTTTAGGAAAGTCTCTGTAAAACCAAGTAAAACACTGAATCCCTGGTGTCTGTGGAAGGGTAAATAGAATAAATACCTCACTGCCCATCTGCATTGCAAAAACCAGTAGCCCACGCCATGAAATAGCAGAAACCCAGGCTTTGTGCTCTCAGAATTATCTACCATGTACCTGAAGTCTGTGTCTGAGTACAGTCTTGTATGTGAGTAGTGTGGATCTGTGAGTTTAGGTACAAACCTGGACACCAGCCAGTACACAGCATACACTGCAGTCAAAATCTCTGAAAAAAGTTATGTAATGTAAACAATAAAAGGACAGAAAAATACATATTTTTTCAGGCCAATTCAGGTGTGCTTTCTCAAAGTCAGTTGCATTCAGTCCGTATTCAGCAAAGTTTCCAGGGACAGTTTGATGTCTCATTAAAATCAATGGCCATGTCTAACCTGCCTTTGATGCGTTTCTCATTGATGGTCCTCATGACCAGAGTTGCTGCATGCCTGTACCACAAGATCTGTCAGATGACTGAGGATGAACCAAAAAGCCCAGGTGATGTCTAGGGACTGTGTACCACTGTACAGCATTAGGACGCCATGAAGATTTTGATGCCAATAAGTACATGCTGACCAGCTAGGCACAAGTTACACACAAGGCACCTGTGAAAGGCAGACTGTGGACTGCAATATTCATGGCTGCCCTGGCAGACCCTCCTCAAAGACTAGGTAGCCATCATCATAAGCAGGGAGTCTTACAGTGTTTCTTAAAACCACGCACATAGTTATGTGGCTCAAGGCCTCCATAAGCATTTTTGCAGCTTCCTCGAGATTCTTTGCAGGATCAACAGAATTCCCAACCAGTGGGAACAGAAATCTGGTCCACTGAAGTCTTGCTGTTCAGTAAGAACAATTATTTTTACTCAGTGACTCTCAGATGGAAATTAAAAGACTTTGGGTGGTGGGGACAAGTGCTTCAGGGCATGCAGTATCTCAGGCACTTTGGTTCTTGTTTTTCCTGGAGCTGACATACCCTCCTTTTTGAACAGGAATCTGGTATGGGATTCTGGAAGGCATTGGAATTCTTTCTGTTATCACAAATGCATTTGTCATAGCTGTGACATCAGATTTCATCCCTCGCCTTGTTTATGCTTACAAGTATGGACCTTGTGCTGGCCAAGGAGAAGCTGGACAAAAGTAAGCTTTTCTTTGGGAAAATAGATGCATATGAAAATCACTTACTGCTTGAATAGATAGAGCTGTACTGTCTGTGATTGTGCTGATTCCACTAAGCCAAATTATTTTTGTGTTTAGGTAACAGTTATCTGCCATAGATATTGACACTTTGTATATCCACAGAGTGGGTTGCTGAGTGACTAAAATTTATGACGTTAATTCAAAGAAAACATGGCAGAGCTGTTACAGAGATTTGGTGTGTGTAACAGTATGCTGCACAAGCTGCACTTCCCAGCTGGTGTACATGAATATAACCCTCTTATCATTCTGAAGCAATGCTGATATTTATCAGTTATGGATTTAATGGGCATTTTAAACTTATTCACTAGGTTTTGGTTTTTTCCTGTTGTACTATTCCCCATGTATTGTTCAGAAGTACTGTCTAACAAAAGGAAGCAATTCCCAACTAATAAACCAAGACATACTTACAGAACAAAGTAATTTGGTTTTCTTCTAAAACTAGAGTCCTCATGTTAGCAGAAATTTGTGAACTGAATCCCTGCTGCCTAAGTGGATTTCCTTTCAGTGTTGCTAAACACTGAGATTATATTACCTGTACGATGTAGGCAGCTGGACTCAGGGAAGGTCACTGAATCCAGCTGAACACAGACACATGTGCAAATGATCTCCTAGCAGTTCCATTAGCAAGGTCCCGGCCGTTCAGGAAACGCAGGCTAAACGGTAGACATTAATGGCAAGTTTAAATTCTGCTATTAGACATATGGCAGATCATTTTTATCCCCTGCTGCAGAAAGTAAGCTTTTCTGTTGCTGCTTTTTTGCCACTTTTTGGTTGTCAATACTGTTTAATCATATTGATGGAAGAATGGCAGCTGGTGTGGCAGCTCCTGATTAGCAGCGCTGCTAACTTGGTGTCTTGCAAGGATGTCCTTAGCAAGTTTGCCGACAACAACAAGCTGTGTGGCTCGGTTGATACGCTGGAGGGAAGGGATGCCATCCAGAGGGACCTTGTCACGCTTGTGAGGTGGGCTGATGCCAACCTTATGAAGTTCAGCAAGGCCAAGTGCAAGGTCCTACACCTGGGTCAGGGCAAACCCAGGCACAACTCCAGGCTGGGTGGAGAAGAGATTCAAAGCAGCCCTGCGGAGAAGGACTTGGGGGTGTTGGTCGACAAGAAACTGAACATGAGCCAGCTTCAGCGTGCATTCACATCCCAGAAACCAACTGTATACTGGGCTGCAACAAAAGGAGTGTGACCAGCAAGTCACACGCGTGAGACCCCACTGCAGTACTGTGTGCAGCTCTGGTGTCACCAGCGTAAGAAGGACGTGGAGCTGTTGGAGCAAGTCCAGAGGAGGCCATGAGGATGATAAGGGGGCTGGAGCACCTCCCTTATGAAGACAGGCTGAGAAAGGTGGGGCTGTTCAGGCTGGAGAAGAGAAGGCTGCGTGGAGACCTTATAGCAGCCTTCCAGTATCTGAAGGGGGCCTGTAAGGATGTTGGGGAGGGACTCTTCATCAGGGACTGTAGTGGTAGGACAAGGGGTAAAGGCTTCAAATTTAAACAGGTGAAGATTAGATTAGACATAAGGAAGAAGTTCTTTACTGCGAGGGTGGTGAGGCACTGGAATAGGTTGCCCAGAGTCATGGTGAAAGCTCCATCCCTGACAGCCTTCAAGGCCAGATTGGACAGAGCCTTGGGAGACATGGTCTAGTGTGAGGTGTCCTTGCCAATGGCAGGGGGTTGGAACTAGATGTTCTTAAGATCCTTTCCAATCTTCACCATTCTGTGATTCTGTGACTTTGGCATTTTAGTTGGTGGCAAGGGAACTGTTCCATTTATTTTCATGAAGAGCTAAAGTATCTTCACGGGTAAAGTGTTTGGTCTGGCACCAGTAATTCCTGAGAATGTGCCTCTGCTTGTGCCATTATGAAGACCCATACGATACTGAGGCACTGTCAGCAACTTTCCTTACTACTGATTTTCTCAGGACCACTGTGCACGAAAAAAATACCACCTTTAGAAATTTTATTTTTATGAAGACTCAAATATGACTCAGTGGCTTTGAAACTAGCTCAGCACAGGGGAAGTAGCTTGGCTCACAGAGGAAGCTCTTATCATCTTTTCAAAAACCTCTTGTACAGTGTTTCCACACTTCTGCTGCTTTTGTGAATTTCTAGATGAAACTATTAGATGGTAATTCTTTGAAGGAGCCAACTTGGATAAAAACTATTTATGCCATCATTCTGGATATTATTATTAATAAGTGCTGTTATAAAAGCCAGAAGCTATTCAAAATCCACAGGAATAATGAGTTTTCTCAAATTAAGGAGTCAAGAACATCTGCTATTGAATAACTTGAGACAGGTGCTTCTTTCTTTCAAAAAACATCAGTAGGTATTAGATCTATATGACACCCAGTGATACTAGAAAAGTGTTGTAATTAAATGAAGTTCCAAATAAAGTTCCAAGTCCAATCAGTATGGAAATTTTGAGACAAAGCCAGATGGTGTCTACATGTAATTTCTCAAAGACTGTAAAATCCATAGTTAAAAAAAAAAACCAAAAACAAAAAAACCCCAAAAACCAAAAAGCACCAACGCTTTCGCCCTTTCTTTCCATTATACTCTGCAGCAAGCTGAGCAGTGTGCCAAGACTTATTTGTGCTTGAGCAGTGCAGAGTTAACAGCATAATACATTTGCCATCTCTCTCCTCAGCTTTATTAACACCACACTTGAGTCTTCTAGTGACTCCCACAGCCCTTCCACGTACATTCTCTTACTCAGTGTTCTCCAAACTCTATCTGACCCAGTGCTCAGCCACCCTGAGATCTTAGTATTGTGTTCCTCTGATTAACTGGACATTTTGTAAAAAGCTGTTTTAAGTGTATTGCCTTCTGTCTGATTTAATGTCCCTTTGTGATAGTACCATGAGGGTAACAGTGAGACTACTCTGACTATCTTCCTAGTGCTACTTATTATTTTCTCTACTTCTACTTTGTCACCTATTAGGTAACTTTTCTCTTCAAAAGTAACCAGGCCCAGTCTTCACCATTTCTTCTCCCACAGAAATCTATCATTGCTTCACTTTTGTTGTCCATCTGACCTACTTGAGCATCTCTTTTATATCACCTGACATCTTTTTCAGATATTAATAAGCATCACAGTTATACTGTGGATTTCATGAAACTCAGAGAATATCCTCCTGAGTACAACAGTTAATGGAAAAACCTTTCTGTGTCCTGACTACAGGATTTTTTCCCCCTCTAGGTGTATGGTTGGGTATGTTAATGCGAGTTTATCAGTATTTCTGGTGTCTGACTTTGAAAACCGTTCGGAGCCAACATCAAATGGAAGTGAATTTTCTGGTTCACCATTAAAATATTGCAGGTAAGTATCTGATCAAAATAACTCATTGCAAGGGAGAAGCATCAGGATAAATCTGAGGTTGGAACTAGTTTTCAGAACTTAAAAAACAGGAATGGAAAGAAATAACCGTGCTGTTCAGGGACATGCTTGTGATACTGCTGATTCCTTCCTTAGAAACAGGAGAAGGCAAAAGTACCTGTCAGGTGCTCCTAATTCAGGATTTCTGTGGTGACATGGCTTGAATCACACAGAACCATCATGGAGAAATATGGCATTAAATATGGCCAATAATAGGTGACTGATTACTTAGGTATCAGTGAGATGCAACTTTAATCAAATTATACCATAGCACATACACAAGGAAGTCAGGGTTGCACAGTGAGTTATTTCACAGGGTCTGTCCTAAGCTATCTTTACGAAACCTCAAGTCTAGCACTTCCTAATTGTTGAATGGGTAATATGTTCATGTCATTGCTTAGAGGTGTAATTATTAGTAATACTCACATGTTTGTGGTTTGAATCAAAATAAAATGAGCAGTTAATTAGCTGTATGTCTTTGTCCTCAGCCAACAGACTGGAGAAATAGCAGTCTGAGACTAGTCTGTAATGATAGATTTGCACCTGATTTATTTTAATATTCCAAAGAATCAAGAATCTACATAGAGGTCTCATATGAGGTCCCAACCAAAAAATACAGTTATCATCTTTTTATTGCAACCATGGTTTACAAGCATGGGTCCTGGTCCCAGCATTTTTGAGCATGAAGAATTAAAATATCATTTCATGAGTGCCTAAAGAACGAAAGATATACTGTGATACAGAAAAAGTCACTAATACTTTGTGATATTGTGACATTTTTATTAATAATAATGTTTGAGTGGTATAGCATAACAAACAGGGGTGGGGTGGAATGTAGCATTAATGTTTTCGTATAATTAACAGATATTTAAGACTTGCAATTTATTTGGCAAAAAGAACATCCTAATGTTGAATCCATAGATAACATTTTCTGTGGAGCAGAACCACAGTGAGAATAATTCATTCCACATTGTTTGCCATAGCACCATTTAATAATGTATTGTAATTCTGATCATTCTGTTCCCCCTCTTTAATTCCTTTCTTCCCCAACTTCAAGCATGAGGTTGCTGCTACTTAAAACTGATGGTGGAAATCCCATAAATAAAAAAAGTTGTCCCTTCAATATCCCAAAAAGAGAACATTTAAAATTGTTGTCATAAATTTTCAGAAGAAAAATCTGTTCTCTTGGGGGACATGGAATTATTATGTATAGTAAGCTTAAAAGAAAATGAACATCTTTCTTTAGCTGAGTTTATCAGCTAGTTAACCCACCTCATCTAAAACGTCAGTCATTTTAATTATACTTCAAGCCAGATATTGATAGTAAGGTAAGGAAATACTATGGTCTACTGTGCAATACTGTAGGCATTTTCCCAGGAAGACAGTCTGAGCAAAAAAAAGTGGCCATATTCAGTTAACTTCTGCTTGTCTGGAATCCAGATGATGCCATACTATTCTGGTTGTTTATAAAAGGTTTCCCCATTCTTTATGTGTAGCGCTTGGTTCTTAGCAAGTACAAAAAAAGGAGGCATATTCTACTGACCTAGGACTTGGTCCAGGGACTTCTGTTTTCAGGATTCTGAAACATCGTAAACTATGAAGTCAGAATGCTGCCTGCAGAGGGAAGATCATCTCAATTTTAAGGACTTGCACTAGAGATAACTGCAATTTGAGAGAGGTTTGTTGCTAAGATGTCAAGACATGGTTTATTTCATATTCTGTAGCAGCCTCTGAAATTTAAGGTGTGAAGAGAAATACAGATTATCACAGAGATGAAATAACTGCTTGGTTCTTTTGCTTGTCTGAGTTCTGTAGTTTCTTTAACTTAGAGATCGAACTTAAGTGTATTATTTACTATGGCATTTTCAATATTTTTTATAATAGGATTTCTGTCCCATCTAAGAGATTAAGGAGAAAATGATTTTTACTCTACTTTTAAATTAATTTTCTGCAATAGTATTTTGGAATTAATATCCTGCTAGTAGAAATGGTCTCCAGAATGTGTGACTTAAATAGATCCATGACTTGTTAATGTAATTTTGGAGTCTTCCTGGATCCAGTGTTCCCAATAGATATCTCTAGTTATGTTATTGAGACCTAAAGTCTTTAAAGAAACATTCTGTGAGACAAGGCACTAGATCCCTTTCTTACACAGCCCTTGCCCTATTGATATACCAAGAGGCGCAATTCTGGCTCCACTAAAGTCAGGATGAGTCGTGCTTTATGCCAGGGATGGCAAGCTAATTGACCAAGAGCCAGATGGAGCACCTGAGGCAGTTTTATATGGATTTTGAGAGGGCTGTCAGGCTGACGAAACTGGGAACATTTATGGGTTTAAACTTACCTTGTAGTGGGAAGAAAGTGGCCCTGAAAACAGCAGGGCATCCCACCCTACTCCATGTTCTGAGGAGGTGCCTGCAACGCACATGTTGCATGGCCAAAGGAGATGCTGTAGGGTCAAAGTGCTGGTGCTGAGCACTCCACATCCTCTGTATTTGGTTCAGAGCACTGGCTTGGACCTTTGCACTGAATTTCCATTAGCAGCTGGAGCACAAAGCACACTCCTGGAATGCACCTTACCACTATGTTTCATGTGAAACAAACCCATTTGGGGGAACCAAAGCATGGCAAGTGAGGGTGATCAGCACATTTGCTTCAAAACCATGCACCTGATCTGAAATGAAACACTAGTGTAGCCTAGCTGAAGAAGTAAGCAGAAAATGCAATGAACAAGAGCAGTTGGGCTTTGGCTTTACCTTCCTCCCAGCCAGCAGGGCAGGAGCTTGCTGACTACCGTACTCTGCTTGCCTTTCAGATACAGGGACTACCGAGACCCTCCTCACTCCCCAGTGCCCTACGGTTACACACTGCAATTCTGGCACGTCTTAGCAGCGCGGTTGGCTTTCATTATTGTATTTGAGGTATGTAACCATTCAGGTGGCAAAACAAAACCAACAAAATGAAACAAATTTCCCTTTGAAGCTTTTTCATTGAGCTGATCTACAATGGCAGCTGTTGAGCTTTTTGTGTTAGTTTCTGCTATTTATATTGTGCTTTGTGTTCTCAGATCTGTTTTCTGAACAGTAACAGGTATTTAGGTTCTAACAAAAAGAGGAATGTAGCACTTCGAAAACTGTAACTGTGACTTGCCAACAGGGCAAATAAATGAAGCTTTTGTTAGCTTTCTGAGGTCTGGCATTTATAACCTGTCTAGGCTGGGAAGCCGTATTCTGGCCAGCGTGTAAGGAATGGGAGAAGGAACATGAGAAGAAAAGATGAAATCTGAACAACTGAAAAATGAAAATAGTTTAAGATACAGTATTTACACATCTAGTTTTTTGTTGGTTTTTTTTTTTAATACTATTCATTTTCCCAGAGTGACTAGCATCACAAAGATGATGACGATGAAGAGGATTCAATACCTTAGCCAATGTTCAGACTAATGGTATTTACTGTCAGTATCTTAGAAAACTTTAAGACAAACCAGAGAAGGTAATACCAGCTTTACATGATGGGTATTCCCTTGCTGATTTTGAAAAAGAGAGACAGGACGGTGGATAAATAGGATGAGATAATTTGCAAAACAAAATGCAGCTTTTAAGGCCTGCATTTCAGGTGCCTGAATATCCCTGCCAGAAACCATGGGTTCGGCATCTCTCCAGCACAAGCAGTTTGAAATGCCTTTTACACTGTGAAGAAGCCAGACAAGGAACAAACTTTACTCAATCTTCCACTCTGAAATCATAGCAACAATGCATCCAGCACAGATATGGAAGCTGTAATCACCATAAATTATTGGCATAATGTTCAAATGCACATAACTGCATTTACTGTCTAAATTCATTCTGAACTGAGTTTCTGAAGGCCCTCTTTGGATCACAGAACAGAAGCATCTGAATTAGAGGAAAAGTGAAGAGGAAACTTTTCCTAGATTATTTCTTGCATAAGGATGACTTAGTGGCTCAGCAGAACCATGAACCATTTGCAGCAAATTCCCCGACTGTCATTTTCAGCCCTTCCCAGATGGAGGGAGGATATGCCCCTGCAGGTTGGACTCTCTCCTTCCTCTACACTGGCCTAAGTCGTTAGAGGGTGGTCCTAAAGAGATTAGCTCTTCCACAATCTCTGCCACACTCAGGGAAACATTAAGGGAAAGAAAGAAAGATTTGATAGAGGCTTGCTGGGCTTGGTCTCTTCTTTGTTTCTTGTGCTGTCAGTACTGAGAGCCAGGGTATCTGTCTCCAAAAATGACTACAAGAATGGCCTTGGCAGATCAGCCTGAGCAGTTTTAAGACTGAAGGCAGCCTGGCCTTTTGATAGACTCTTCACATAAAGGCAGCACAGCATAAGGGCAAAGATAACTGGGGCAAGAAAAATCAGCACTGTTCAAGTCTCAGTGCCCAGCCAAATTTTCAACCTGCTGTGGAATAGCTTTTATTGTTTGCTTAATGCCTGCACAACAGATTTGACTTTGCTTTGCCCCAACCAAAGCCATGGGCTGGCTCACAGCTGTGTCTCTCAACAGGGGCCACTCTCTTTATTGGCACTGCAAACTGTTTCCTTAACTCTATTTATGAAATAAAAAAGGCAATTGCAGAAGAAATCATGAAAGGTCTTTGGACATTTGAAATGTCCAGATTACGTCTTTGGAGAACACTAATGATGTATTGTGATTGCTACAGCAATTACAGTAGAAGATTGCACTAAGATAAATGATTCGAGGTAGAGGGTTTTTTTTCCATAAATTGACTACTTAAGACACATTTTTCACAGAATCACAGAATAGTTTGGGTTGGAAGGGACCTTGAAGATCATCTAGTTCCCAACCCCCTGCCACGGGCAGGGCACCATACAGTAGAACAGGTTGCTCAAAGCCCTGTCCAACCTTGCCCTTTGCACTGTTGAACTGTTGAGGTTCGCACGGGCCCACCTCTCGCGTCTGTCAAGGTCCCTCTGGGTCCCATTCCTTCCCTCCAGCGTGTTGACCACACCACATAGCTTGGTGTCATCAGCAAACTTGCTGAGGGTGAACTCAGTCCCACTGTCCATGTCACTGACAAAGATGTTGAACAGCACTGGTCCCAGTAGCAACCCCTGAGGAATGATGCTCATCACTGGTCTCCACTTCAACACCGAGCCATTGACCACAACAATTTGAGTGTGAACATTCAGCCAATTCCCTATGCGCTGAGTGAGACTGAATCCATGTCTCTCCAGTTTAGAGACAAGGGTGTTGTGCAAATGCTTTGCACAAGTCCAGGTAGTGCTCCTCCCTTACTCACCAATACTTAAAACCCATCATAGAAGACCACCAAATTTTTCGCTCTGTGGGATGGTTAATTTGGCTTATCTTGTCCTCCCCCAAAAGCAAACAAAAGTGTTTCCTATCACACAGAAATAATTATTTGTCCAGGCTAAACTGATGAAAGCTTTTTCATTATTATTGTTTTAGGTTTGGCAAAAAAAAAAAAGCAACAATTAAAGTATTGTGGGTTTATTTCTCATGACGGAAGAATACATGGGAAAACACATTGCATTCTCTTTTCAGTGGTTTTCACAGGAAGGGTTCTGCTCAGAGAAGAAGAGAGATCTTTGTTTCTCCAATCTAGAATGAGTGTCTTCTATGAGATGGAGGATTTTTCTGTTTCTCTGCTCCTCCTTTCAAGTGGAATACCTAAATCTCAAAGCAGCATCTTTGATCAAACAAAAGAAGGTCACTCAAACAATCCTTCCCCATCACACCCAAGCTTTGCTGTGGCATGCCTAAAACATGAGGGACAAAGGGTTAGTTACCTGGTATTTAATTGTGATGTTTAGTAATTGGGAATATGTCTTTGGATGAGAGACACAGTACAAGGGAAAATATTTTGTTTTGCATAGGTAATTCATTGGTTCTGATACTGATGCAAAGATTTTCTGGCAACAGGAAAGTGTATTATTTGATCCACCTCTTCCTGCAAAAAGTAATCCACTAGTACCAGGCCTGCCCAAGCAATCTTAGACCAAATCATGACCTCAGGGATTTGAACACACAGGTCATACAACAGATTTGAGGGCTTAGTTGAGGCAGCTGCTCATAACCTTGCAGCAATTCGTACTCGCTGGCTTTGCCTGAGTTTTTGTGGGGGAAAAAAACTCATGGTTTACATTCTTTAAATTTAGTAATGGATTTAGTTCTAACACAGAATCTTGTTGTGAATTGGAAGTGGAGGACTTTCAGAAAATACGGTACTTATTTTCTTCCTAAGATTTTAATTTTTCACTCCTTTTTGTTTCCACAGCACCTTGTCTTTTGCATAAAGCACCTGATTTCCTACTTAATCCCAGATCTCCCAAAAGATCTGAGAGATCGGATGAGGAGAGAAAAGTACCTGATTCAGGAAATGATGTATGAAGCTGAATTAGAACGTCTGCAGAAAGAACGGAAGGAAAGGAAGAAGAATGGAAAATCTTATCACAATGAGTGGCCATGATGGGGTGAGGAAGAAACCACTTAAAAGAAGATAGGAATTCTGTTTATAAAAGCCATTTTCTACAGTGGAGAGTACACTGAAAGGAATAGCCAGTCAATGTTGTGTGCTCTTACAAGTGCGCCCATGTTTAAAAGGGCACATATCGTCATAAACCTTTTGAAATTAGAGGTCTTGCAAGGCTTAGTCTTCTCCAGACCTAATGCCAGCCAGAGCAGATCAGACCAGTGCTTAATTGTCTGAACTGTTTCCAGGAGGCTCCCAGGCCCTGACTTAGATTCAAGGCCATGAATGTCAAAGCAATTATATATCTTACAGTGCTTTACAGAACTCGGTGATCTTACGGCTTGTTCTCATAGCCAAATTGCTACTTCATAACCAGTGACTGCCCCTTGGGCAACATGGCAGTACTTTTCCATTTGTGTGGCCACCACCTGCAGCACATGCATGGCAGTGTTGCCCTCTTCCACAGTGGACTAGGCTGTGTTAGCTTGCATTTACAAGGTAAACTCACGTATGTGGACCACTTCCATTACTCCAACACTACAGAAGTATTTTTTAGAAGATGCTTGATCGTCAGTCTAACCAGCTGGTCTAACAAAGCTGAAAATTTAGGTGTGCAGAAGTGATGACAGATAGCCAAGCATCTAAATGTGGCCAGAGCTGCCTGACTGTCTTTCATTTGGAAATGATACTGTGAAAAATTAGTAATATATTTTAAAGTTTTGAACAGTGCCTTTTCAGGTATAGGACTGTCTGCCCTCTGAAGGAAACAAATCAGGCTAGGGCACCTTGCCCAGAACTGCCTGTGTATTTGTATTGCAAGATCACATTGAGGCCTCATCCGGAACTAGGGTGTATGATATATGTAACAAAAGACAGACTGTGTCTTAAAGACCTATCTGTGTAAGTGAAAACAAAAAAAGCCAACAGATGAACAAGGTCAGCAGAGCAAAAGAACACAGTCATCCTGAATCTCTGTATTTGTAACATTTTCTTTATTCATCCTTCTATTATCTATGAAGGGGTGGAGGGGAAAAATAGAACAATAGACTTTAGTATGAAATAGCTTGAGATTTTAATCCTTCATGCAGATCACTTCTACACAGGATGCAGAATTAGATGTGGGTGAAATGGGCCACTCTGTATATCCTTCTGAAAATTCTTTAGCATTGAGAAATTAAAAATTTCCTAGATCATTAACCCAAAATAGTGGACTTGTAGGTCTAAAGACTGCAGCAGAGCTGGATAAAGCAACAAGAATCAGAATTATGAGTGTTGTGAAAGCTCTACCACCTCTTGCCTCAAAGTGATAACACTGCAATTCTTGCAGAACATGCAGTGGCATAATCAGCCAGAATGAAGAAGGAAGTTCAAAAGCCAAGACTGTAAGAAGCCAGGTGGATTCAAGCCTATGCCCAGCTAGATACAAGATACTGGAGCTGAACCATTTACTTAACCCTTTTCCAAATAACTGGAGCTCCATAAAAATACCGTTTTTGCATAAGTCTTAAGTAATTCTGACCTTGTTAGTTTGAAGATATTTAAGAGGGAGGAAAATTCAGCAAGTTATTTCTACAAGTTTTCCTGGAAATCTTGATAGAAGGGCTGGAATTTGCCTTTCTGGACAGACCACACAATGCAAGACTCTATGGACGGATGTCTCAAGCTCCACAAGACATCAGGACCACTTGCACCAGGACCCCATATTGCCAAATTAGATTTATTAACTTCTTTCCACTGCAAAGGAGTTTCTGCAAAGGATCTGTTTCTGTTGACATGGTGCCAGACTGAGTGGGGAGCATGACTAGTGGTTGTGGGGTGCATTCCTGCCTAATGGGGAAGTGAACTTTTTCATCTTGGCTTCAGCTTACAGCAGTTGTGGACACATCCCATGCGGGCAGTGGAGAAATGGGGTATTTCTATCTCTGTAAATAGTGGGTGGGGATTAGGCAATGTCATCCTGCAATGCACACATTCCGGATGGGTTAGTATTTACCATCCACCACCTACAGATGTATACTGCACTTGCAGTCTGAGGACTCGGGCTGGATCACTGTGCAAAATCCCATTCAGGCCAAATTCACATGAGCAGTTGGATGTTTGCATACCTTCTGTTTAATATCTAAACCAACAGATGACAAGAGCTTAGAAACTGTTTGCTAAGTAGTAAAGAGAGACATGAGTCATGCATAAAATCAGTGTCACCCGTCTGGGTGTGAATCTTTGCAAACTCCTGCAGTAAAATACGGCTTTGTCAATGTAGATCTCAATAACTTCTGAGAACTGAACTGAAACCTACTAGAATATAAACCGACTTCAAGCTGAGAGGAACCACTGCAATATAATGTGCCAAAACAAATAAAGTGCAGCAGAAATACAATAGATAATAATTGCTTTTGAGACTACTTTTCAGCATAGCTACATCACGATGAATTTTCATGACAATACATTGCTAGAAGTTGTGTCCCATTCTCCTCTAAATGAGAACACAAGTTGACCGCCTACCAAGCTTGTGCTGAGTACGATGCTGAAAGGGGCTCTGACCTCCCTGGCAGATCTGAGTATTTCTGCCACTTAATGTTGACCAGTCAACCCACGGAGGTTTCTGTGCTGCTGGTCTGCTGAATAGATTTCCCTTGAGTCCTTCAGAGCTATACAGCAGAACATTCAGGAAAGATGACCCCTTTCTCATTTATTTTATTTATTAGGAAGATATACAAATAATAAGCTAATAATGAACAGAATTTTAATGGTCTCTAGATAGCAAATGTATGCCTTTCCATTCTTTCTGATCTGATGATGGGTTTTGTTTAAACCTCTAGGTGACCATCCTACATGTTGTTTACTTATTCCGGCTCCACAAAAGCACTACCTTCAAGGGAATGAGAAAAAAATGCAACCTCAATGCATGCCACAGACATTTTACATAGCAAGCAGGACAGCACACATCAAAGGATTTACTGTGAAATCATCTTGCAATCAGCATAGGATTGATCTCCATAAACTACTCTTGACAGCAAGCATGTACTTCATGAGCAGTTACACACCAGTTTTTAAAACCAAGGAACAAAATTGTATATTGGGACTGGTTTTCAGCCTGTTTGCTACCTTTTTTTGCATTCTGCCCCATGTTGATTTTACGGATCTTAGAAAAAAAAATGTAAATGCACAACCTGGACAGAAGAAAAATCCTAGGTATAGAACATCATCTGTGTTCAAGCCACCAAATACTACAACAGAAACGGTGTTTACAAATCAGTTCTTTTTTATTTTAAATCTTTCTGAGGGGAATTATGTTATTTACCATATATATAATATATATAT